AGGCGAGCTTCTTTGCCTGTGGCAGTCCGTTCTCCTGGTCGACAGTCTTTTATTCTCTGACGACGCCTTCTGTCAGCCTGACACCTCCTGCCATTTGCAACGCACGTGACATGACCACGTCGTGGAGACGACTTGACGCCAATCGGCGTTGTGTCATTTGATAAGAAGTAGAAGCGATCTCAGGAATAAGAGCCTTATTCGCCCGACGGTTCGGATTCTCTCTCGAAGCCATCATCAGAGGCAGTAGCAGAAACGGGTGATTCGTGCACGGGAGGTTGCAGTATTTATAGGATGCAGTCGCTATGCCACTGCATGCCAATGATAATTAATCGCCCTCCCGCCCCCCTCATCGGGGATTGTTGCCCGCTGGTGCGCTAATTGCTTCATGGACTGCATGCAAGTTGTCAATTGCTGAAATCTCATCACTCGTGTTGCATGCTGGCGGGATGATTGCTCGGCCATCTGGCTCACCGGCCTGCGGACAGGGAGCGCAAGCATGCACAAGGATTGCATCATTCGCCATGATCTGATGCTGTCGCTGATGTGAACCTGAAAGGTCAATTCGTATTTCCACGGTTGCGTCTCCTCCGCCTCCCTGAAATAAAATATTTAAACACATGATTGGACCTCGGCTATTAAATATATTTTCTCATAGTGAGGTGGGAGGAAGCAGCGAGCGTGTACGTAAAGGGATAGCCACAACCTGTCTTTGCTCTGCACTGACCTAGACAACTCCGGAATAAGAGGTGCATCACATCTACGCACATCGCTCGATTCTCAATATGCTCCTACTATAACAATCATCGTCTTGCCATGTCTCACATTGGTCTGGAGGAAACTAGACAAAGCATATATCCCGAATGCCAAGTATTTTTCAGCACGACTACACCGCATCATGATGGCTTGTTGCCTAAAATCAAGGCCAAATGTGATATCTCAGAGTGTCTGTTGCCGGTCATATACGCTGGTTCTTCATGTTGACCTGGACTCCTTTGGAATTTTGATAAAAAGGAACCTTCAAATAAGCCCCTCATATGCGCGCAAGCCCGTTCTTAATCCGAGCAGGATTTTCCGGCGTGTTTGCAAGTCACTCTGCGTACTTTCATCTTCTCCCATTTGTCCTCTCCGTCCACCATTACACACTATCAAGCATTCTTCACACACCTTCCTATGTGTGTCGCACGTAAAACAGAGACGTCACGTCATCTTAGCCATCAGTCTACATCCACTCCCCCTGCCTGTCGCTACTCCGTCAGCCTCATCGGCTGGTTCGGTTATTTGAATGTGCCCCTACGAGACTGCGCGATAACTAACTGTTAGCTCATGCTCGCAATTGACTGTGTACACGAAACCTCTACGGATGAGTGCAGTTTATGCCAAAGTCAAACAACTGCAGCCACGTCAATATTCACAACGGACAGCAATCCACCGCCAGTCCCTTCTGTCATTGACAATATTTCTGTTTGTGGATCATCGTCGGAGACACTTTTTGGCTCATATAAGCCGAGCAGTAGTTTCAGAGTCTCGGGCGACCTGCGGACTGGTTAAGGAAATTGCAGCCAATGGCGAACTGCACCGTATGCCGCATAGACTAAACGCAGCACTGGCGGCGTTCGCATGAATCCGTTTATTGTGAGGCAGACCTGCGCAACATCTACCCCACTCCCTCCCTCCCACACCCACAGGGCTCCGATGGAAAGACAATGTCCAGATGACCGGAGGTGGAATCGGGTGCAATGGTGGACAAAGCTGCAAACAGTCCGTCTATGCGTTCGCTGACGCGATCTGGTAAAGCATCGGGTTGTGTGAAAGAACATGCATCACGCATGCATGAGCGCTGCATGTCGAGTCCGTGTGTCGGACGATGTGGAGTGAGTTCCTGTGTGGTGTTTGTGCTGGTGGATCGAGGTGAATACGACCTAGAGCGTCTCCGACCCGTCGACACACATATACCTCAGTTATATGGCTTGCCCAAGATCCACATAAATGGTACACCGGCTCTAGACATGAGAAACTCGCCGTCGTCAATTACTTATGTTAACGGCATGAAAGATCTCGACCTAAACGGAAAGGTTATGTTTTCGCCAGACGTCTCTTCTCTTTGTACGAACATACCGGTCACAGAAATCGTCAACTACCTCTGTGAATCCATTGCCTCCAATCATCATGATATAGGAATTCCAGTGAATGCTCTCAAAGAATTGCCACTGAGATGTACCTAAAACGTACAGCTTCTATTTGACTACAATCTGTATAGACAAATCCACGAAGTAGCTATAGGCCCGCCCCTTCGTCCGCTTTTGGCGAATATGTTCATGGGCAAGTTAGAAGCTTTCGAATTTCGTCGCCAGATCGATGGTCTGAGATATTATGAACGCTATGTGGATGATAGATTCGCGATTACACCTAAACAAAACGACGTTTGAGTCCCAAATGTGGAGAGGACAAGGACAAACTGCCAGGCCGGACCACCTCTATGTGTAAGTACTCCATCACCTCCTCCTGTGGAGCAGAATATAGTGGTCGCACAATGCGACGTTTGTCAAAAGGAATAAGAGAGCACCTTCCAGCATGTTTAGAGGAGGGTCAAATGAAGAAAGTTAACAGGTCTATCCTCGCGCACATGATAGACGCGGACCACGGTGTAGATTCCGGGCAGGCCGTCTTGGTGATTTACAAGGTTCCGTCAAGCCATCCAAAATCACTTGGACAGCGTCTGTTGGCAACGGCAGAGACGGCTGCATTCAGGTTGCACAAACAAATCCTATGCACGCAGAGATCTTCAGGCAGGCCTCGCAGTTAACATTGGCCAAAGTCACCAAGGCAGCCACCGGCCTATAATTACCCGTCCCAGTGTCCACTATTCCCCCTCCCTCTTGACACTGAGGGCAATATTGTTTTTCGTTTCACCCAACCCCTACTACAGAATAACGTCTACTTGCCCGCTTTTTATTATTAATCATTTTGATAGAAATATAAATTCCGCAAATATTTCATGTTACACTTGAATAGTCAAGTTGGCGAACACGCGTTTTCGGTAATTCTTCGTCAGGCCAATACAATTACATGAAGGAATGAAAATGTACAAAATCAACAGTGTTTATGGGTGTCCCAAGAGCTATTAAGTCATTAACACTCATCATCCCCACGCCGCCCGCATGACAAGGTCGGCGGGTGTTAGTCGTCAGAGCTAGGGGAGGGGAGGTGGGTAAGAGAATCTTTGAGTGATGTTCTTGGATTGAGTACACGGAGTACCCATCATCGTGATTAGGGATTTGAGGCGGCATGACTTTATCACTTGGGGTTGGCGAGGTGAGACCCGGTCGATCTCGAGTTCTATCCTCGCACATTTAATCGATACGAACCACCGAGTCGATGCCAAGAAAGCATTTCTGGTTGTCTACCGGACACCAACATGATTCTATAAAGGCCTACGCCAACGGATACTAGCAACGGCCGAGGCAGTAGCTATACGGCCAGCGACTCCGGTGTTATGCTGGCAGAAAACTCTGACACAAGCGCTTTCTCTGCCGTGGCCAACGCCAACCCCAAGTGATAAAGCCATGCCGCCTCAATTCCCTAATCACGA